GGTGTCACTTTAAAACCAAAAACATTGCATTTAAATCAGTAAACTACACAGCCTATAAATTAATATTTAGATAATCTCAAAATTATTTTCATGAATTTCTTTCTCTTCAACCAGAGTTTTTATACTAGCCTTATGGAAATGTTTAATAGTCATCCAAATAGGCAGTATGAATCAACTTAGTTTAGTTCTTAGCTTGTGTTCTTGTATTGATATATTGCAATATATGGCTTTGCATTACATGATTTCATGGTTTCAACAGTACAACTTGTTTTATTTCTTGGCCGGAGACCAATTAAATAACCACTGATGCAAGCAGTCATTACCTGCTTAAAAGGAAATCTGTGGTTTCCTTATTTAAACTGCTGAGTTTTACTGTCCATCAAAAAGTCTGTTACTGCAATGAATAATTTAGCCATTTCAGTCTACTACACATTTTAATACTACAAGCGTGTATTTAAGACTGCAAAATATGCCTATAGTTTCTCAGTCCCAAGAATCAGAATCATACTTGCTATAAGACAATGGTTATATTTACTGTTTGAAATGTTATAGGTTTAAGGGACGTCATTTTTGATAATTATTTAGAGAAAGAAGACTAAAGTATCAAATTTAACAGAAGTAGCTGGAGAAATGATTGATCGTAAAGAGTTCAAAAACTTTACACCTATGTAACTGGATACAGATGACCCTTTTGAAAAAGATGAAAGGTCAATGAATTTGAGGATGTAGGGGTGTCATTTCCTCAGTTTGTCCCTTGGTGGCGTTCTTGAGTCACTTTCTTCTTTCCCGTCAAACTGCTTTACATTTCTTTCCAGAACTGGCTATCGTGTTTACTGTATTTAACCTTTTTCTTGTATTATCGTAAATACAGCGTCTATAATAAATGAAAGCCCCCCAGAGATTATATCTCCGACACCTACTTCTTTGTAATTCATTCTAACCCATAAACTTTTGTTGTCGTTGTTATTCCGCTTCCTGTCTTTTCTTGAGGCTTAAACTACATCACGGATCCTGAATGCTATTTTTCAGCTCAGTCACTGAAATGTTTTAACTGCAAAGTAGTTTCAAGTAAGCAAGCTTAGTCGGTAAATTTAAAAAGTAAAACCAAAAACTACCGGATATTGTAAGTTAGGCTAAAATATTTGGCATGGAAAAGAAATCGTTGGCCGAGCTTTTATAAAATGTCTATTAGAATGGGATGGTATTTCTATAATCAATTTTCTTTTTTAACCTAGGTTTCAAAGGGACATTTCTTTTTATTGTCCTAAAAAAAAAAGGAAAAAAGAAACAAAAACAAACATCCCCAACATTTCAAAGTCTCTCAAACATTTTGGTTCATACAAGCGATGACGTCCTATCTGAGGAACTAAGGTTTTAGGACACTGATCTCGTTTCTTCTCTTCAATTCTGGCCGCAAAAGTAGCAGTAGCAGCAGCGGTCTCTTTAATTTATTGCAGCCGGTTACAATTTCGATCCCATTTCCTTCTGAACCCTTTCAGGTTGAGAAGATAAACGCAGCCTCGGGCCTGAAAAGCCGGGCGGGGTTTGTGGGTGGGAGCGAAGCCGGATATCATATTCCCTTGGTGAGGTCTTGTACCGGGGGGGGGGATTTAGTCCTCCCGGTTGCGTTTAATGAAATTGCTGAGCACTTGAGACACTGGCTCTAAGACTGCGGAAATGGGGCGGGGGTGGGGAAGACGGCATCTCGCCTCCATTCATTTTCCGCGCAGGCTTGAGGCTGGAGTTGGAGTGTCAGTCCCTAGACAGGGGGCGGAAGAGGACTGGGAGCTCCGGCCGCGGCAAGGAACCCCGAGGGCTCCCCTCACCTCGCCCACAACCCTACCCCGCCCATTCCGTTCCCTTTCCCAAGAACCAAACGGCTAGGCAAATCTGCCAACACTCCTGGCTGCTCCGGCGTAAAGGTCGGAGCCGGGGACCGTGGGGGGAGGGAAGAAGTCCAGAAGGCTTCAAGGCCTCAGCAGTCTGGCCGCGCAATTCTCCATGCAGCACACGTCGTACCCATTTCCCACGCTGGTTTGGCTTGGCGGCGGAGTTGGTAGGGATGAGAGTAGGGAGGGCGGGCTGGAGACTACCTCCCGCTTGCAATGAGGAAACCACTCCGCTGTGAAGGACGAGCTCTCCCCCCGCCCCCCACCTCCGGTCAACTGGGAAGGAAATTTCAGCGCGCTGGGGAAAAGTCGCTCACTCTTCAGCCCTTCGCTGGTGCGCGCCTGGAAACTGCGCGCCGCAGCGGTGGGCGAATGTTTGAAGATGCGCAGGGGCTTGTTCAAGTTTATGGACTGGCGAGGCAAGAGGGAGTACACAACGTCTCTGCCCATGCGGCTGCCTGAAGTTTGCAGAATCTTAGTAAGGGCGGCGAGGGGAGTGAGTGCACTGCACCATATTGCCGCGTAGTTGAACGCGCGGGCGCAAGGCCGCGGAGTGTACTGGCTTCAGTCTTTCGCCTTGGACCCTGGAAAAATGGAACCGGGTGTCGCAGGAAGGCAGACGTTTTTATAAACCAGAGTTTGCCAAATATAAGGGGAATTTGGCGTTACTGACAGCCGGCTTCTGGGGCGCTGCGGCGCCCGCCTCCCTCCCCCCGACTTCAGACTGCGGCGGTACGCACTGAGTCTGCGCGCCGGGCTGTTCTCGCTGATGTTGCAGATACAGAGCGGAGAGGCTCTGCTGGCGGCGAGAGGGTAGGAAGTGGGGGATAGGGGATGGGGAAGAGGAGCGGGAAGGCCGCCTTCCCGGCCTGGCCTCGGAGGAGGAGCCGCTACCCCCAGAGTGCTGCAGTTTTAGCAGACTGGAAAATACCCGCCCGCTCCCTGGCACATACCACACACGCTTCCTTCCTCCGCACCTTTACAGTTCCCCATAGGGAATGCTCGGAAATCTCTGCCGCCCCTCCCCCATTCCTGC